GAGACAAAAGTCTTCAAAATCGAGGTGCACATGAGTTGCAGATTCAAGTCGAATAGGTATTTTTCACAGAAGGTCAACACAATCAAAGATAAAAGTGATTTGCCAGCGTTACATTCATATTTATGAACCAAAGTTTTGGTTCAAATTTCAACGTTAAACATAAGGGTTTTGTCCAGCTTGTGAAAATGTTTGCATTGTTCGTCTGGTTCGTTTTGTTTCCATTGTTTGGATCATTTCTATTGTTTGTAAAGTTTCTATCATGCGTTTCATTTTTATTGTACGTTCATATCATTTCTATCATTCATTTGATTTCTATTTTGAGTATCGTTGAGAACCCGGGTTTTGAACTATCTTTGGCGTCATTGTTCTTGCGTCTGTTACTTGGTGACTTGCCACCAGCACATGAATCTCGACTTCAGCTTCAATTGATGCACAGTTCAGGCACAGGCAGGCACAGTTTAGGCACAACGAATGCAAATTTTACATAACAGTTTGTGAATCTTCCAACGTGCAGGTCATTTAAAATGTTCATCAACATTGTTCAAGGATGGATTTAGAGTTATTTCACTGAAAGCATTAGCAAGCCTGCTTTCCCAATGTATTGAAAAAATGTGCAAAATGTTTGAAGTGAATTGCTTGAAAACGTTACTTGGAAGGCTGTTGGAGTATCATTTTTGTTCCTAAACTGGACCAGAACCACGCTGCTCTTCCTAAATTTATCGCATGACGAGCCAGTGCTATGAGAGGTTTGATCTCATTAACTTGGGATCAGCTGAAAGTTTTGTGGCTTTCAGTGGCAACACTAAATTACTCATGTCATGTCAATTTCTGTTACATTAAGGCATGTTTAGCATGACAACTTGTTTTAAACTACAAACGAAACTTCCTGTGCCTTCGTAAAAAACCTAGACGGATCCCAGACGAAATGATTGTGTTGACTCTTTTTGTTGACTTTTGATAAATTACAATTACAGGCTGGCCAATCAGAATCGTTGGTTCCCACGCCTAGTAAAATTCCAGGTTGAATGAAGCAGAAAGGTTTACCACTGATTTATCCATTTTTTTTTGTGTAACAGCTTTATCAGTTGATACATCTTAATTTTTGTGACATCATTTATAGGTAATGGAGCAATTGATCTTTAAGTTAACTTCAGCAGAAGATAAGATCTTTCAATTTTGATGTGCAGTTTCTTAATCGTCTGCACAAAGCAACCCGTTAGAAGTTTTTTCAACATTTCAAAACACTACAAAATTGGTTGTAACAAACAGATGATTGTTTTGTTTACCAAGCCAGTTTTTTGCATGAAGAGTCCCTGGAAATCCCTCGCAATGTCAACCGATCACATAGGTCTTTGAATAAATAAACTTGAGGTGTGCAATTAAAGGTTTGAAATGAACGAACGATAGAAGGAAAACAAATGATAGAAATGACAGAAATGGAACGTTTGACATGATTTAACACCAGGAAACCAAAGGAACGTTAAACACATTGTAAACGCTGCAAAAGCTGTAAACACTGTAAACTCTGCGCTGTTTGGGATTGAAAATGTTATGCTGCCTACAAGAATTTCAGTGAGTTCGGTAAATTTTCTGCTTGTTACTCTCTAACCCAGCAAAAGAGAGGAGCTTCAAACAACACCACGACAAGCTGATATAGCAGAGAATCTATGACTACGATTATTTTCATTCACAGTCAGTCCATAACCAAAAATACTCGAGTAAAAGTCAGACATTTGTCAATGATTAGCAACTGTACACCAACACCGTGCACATGGCCAATACTGAAAGTAAGTTGATGTTAGGCAAAGGTTCAGGAAGTCCATGATGTCTTCTGTCAGTAAACTGTAAAGCCAATTGAAGTGGAATACTGGTGAACCGTGATTTCAAATGAAGACACAAGTTTGTAGTCATCAGGTATCTGTACTTTCTTAATAGCGTCAATAAAGTTTTCCATAGATTGTAGTTTGTGTCGAGTTGTAGTATGGTTGTCAAGTACTTGGACAGTTTATACGTCAGGGACCCACAGAATGAGGCTATAGGTTACATCTCTATACAAGGTTTGTGCAGTTCAGTATGTCGGTAGATTTTCGGTGGTTTTCATACTGAGCATCTCAGTCGGTGGTAGCATTGAGTGTCAATAGTGTCAGTCTTCTTAAGCGTATTCTGCTGTTAAGTTTACATTGAAGTGCTGGCATCGGGTCACATTTAAGTTCTAATCGTAAGTCTCTTTTCACAATTCTTGTAAAACTGCACATGGATGTACTGATCTAACCAATCAAACCAATTCACCAGAAAGTAATTTTCCGTTAACAATGATATGTGTATACCCAGCCCATTCTGTGGAGTGAATAGGCCTAGAAAATTTCATAGGGCTCTATGTTTCTACTTAAAGTTGTTTGAATAAATTAGTTCATTGCTCTGAGAAATGGGTACATCCCTAAAGGCATTCAGTTACTGTATAGCAAGTAAAGGACAGTGGGTAATGATTATGCTTTTCTATCTTTTTTTAAATGGTGTCATCATTTCTTACTGCCAAGGAGCCTCTTTTATGCTGTACTCTTTACAGTGTCGGCAAATATATTTTCAATTTAGAATTGTTATTTTTAAAATGCACACATTTCTAAATAATGTACTCCATGGCTCCACTGCTCTACAATCACACATTTCTAGATAATGAACTCTGCGCTCACTACAGCTCTGTGATCACACATTACTTCATAATTAACTCTAAAGCTCTACTGCTCTATGAACACATTTCTTCATAATGAAATCTATAGCTCTAATGCTATCACATATTTCTAGATACTGTACTCTGCAGCTCCATGGCACTACCAGGGCTTGCAATTTACTTTTTTCATTAAGGAGGCAAGTGGCGACTAGTTCCAAAATTTTGGTCACCAGATTGCAGTTTTTGGTCACCATTTTTAACATAAAATTTAAGCTGTTTGTTGTGCAATGTGATTGAACTATCATAGCAACATAGCAGTGAGCAGAACATTCTCCAAAAAACTCACTCATTTAGTAAAGAAATTTGTTGCTTTCTTTGAGCTTTCCCTGTTTGAGGCTGCTTTGCCATACTTCAATGTGACTTTTTCTTACACATTCATCATTGTATAAGTGAGATGTGTGCTCATGGGGTGATTGCCTGGATGATGATAACAACAGATGCACCAAAGAACACTGGTTGAAGGTGGTCTTTTATAAAGTTGTTTTTTTAAGAATAAAAACAGCACATCAACAAGCTAAGGTGACCAATTCTGTTTGTGCAGGCCAGTTGGGCACTTTCCAAGCATTTTGAACTTAGCAATGAAAACTGCCCCAAACTAATTTCCTTTCCTCATTTCTTTGTGTTGTATTTAAGTCAACAAGGCAAAATTGCTCAGTACAGAACGCCTGTAAATCTATTTGCTTTAAGGGTGTTCAGCTTTACGTGGTCCTCAGCTGGACTTCAGCGGTACCTTTTAGGGTATTGAGTCAAAAAAAATAACAAGAGATATTTGAAAATCAACTTTACAAGTAGAAGATATTTGAAGCAATCATCTTTACCACTACTAAAAATAACGAATGTGTCAGTTAATGAGTTGTTTTAGAATTGTTACCTCTTATGATGGGTGAAAGGAATTTCAAGCCATGCCCACAAAACAAGATCTTCATACCTCATAGGATTCTTTTCAAAATTAGACAGGCAACCCTATCCTTTTTATATTGTAGTCCCCTTGGTTCTATTTTTGACAAAACGTTGAGCCTTTGATCATGTTTTATATAACTGTGATTTAACATATACCTACATTAATTTCAGTTTATTTGTAAGTTGGAGCTTCTTGTTTGCTGATATTAGTTTAATCTTAATTCTTTGCCAGCAAGCAGCAGAAGACAAAATTCCAAAGCAGAGTGGAAACGAGACAGATGCTGCTTTGTTGCAGTTTTTGTCTGAGTTTGGTGAATACTACCAGTCATGGAGAGATGACTATCCTGAAAATAAATTGATCAAGGTCTTTGAGTTCACCCCTGATCGTAAATGTATGACAACAATTATAAGTGATGATCATGGAGGGTACAAGGTATATTCCAAGGGAGCTGCTGAAGTACTCCTTGAACTTTGCACCCATGTTGTTGGAATGAAAGGGGAGCTGAAAGAATTTAGTAAGGAGGATGCTGAGAATCTTTCAAGGGATCTAATTGACCCATGGCAGCAGAAAGGCTTGCGTGTTCTTTGTTTAACCACTAAGAATATCTTTCCTGAAGGTAAAAATTAATTAGCTGATAATTCAGTCCTCTGAAAGTGTTGTGCAGTATGCAGTCCACAAAATGCAGCATTAAATTTTTTTTTACAAAATAATTTGAGGTGCTCAACCAAATGTAACACTCAGCATTATTGTAATTTATGCTGTAGTGTTGAACTCATTGTTTGTAACTGGGCTGTGCTGGCAAAACTGGCAGTTGTCCAGAGCATTTGATCTTGTTAATTGCTCCCTGTCTGTTGTTGGGTACGTTTAAGACCAAGGTTAAAGACAGGAATAGCTCAACTTACCAATCATGTTCAATGGACCAAACTTATAACATCATCGACTGACAAACACTATTCACTTGACTCTGAAGGTGACTTCCGCTCAGGCTGTTGAAACATCAGGCACCAACAACAGTTCTTTTCAGAAGTACCCTCACCTGGACGATCATCCTATACAAACTACTGATACTCCTGGGTTCAAACCATTTACCATGTTACTCCTCTTGTCTCTTAAAGATGGTGAGAAACTTCTGAGTAAAAGGGAGAAAGAAATATTGCAAGATTTGATACTCCAGGCAGTTGTAGGCATTGAAGATCCAGTCAGAGAACAGGTTAGACTCTACTTGCCTTTCCAGTGCCAACTGATGGCCAATTGAAACATACTTTTTCAGTTTGCCACCACTTTTGCTTCCACTTAACTGAACTGTGGAGATCTCTTTTATCTTAAAGGTTCAGTACTGTTCAAACAGCAAAGTTAAAGATATTCAGACTAAAGTCCTTTTTTTAAATAATATTTCACAGGGACAGTTTTACTGGAAAGTGTATTTCTCACACATAACAGCAAGAAGGGATGGCAAATAGTTTTCTTTTCATGCTTTGGCACCTATGAATGCATAGGGTTTTTCAACATCTACTTCTCCCTGTCATTTTTCTTAATAGACCACCTGTTGCAAATGTTCGTCAGTGATGTTTGTTACAAACTTACGTAGTCTGACAATCTACAGGCAGTATGAAATTTAGGGTAATTTCAGCCAGTAAAGCTACATTAAAGCCAGTTATTTATGATGATATCAGTTTTATTTGTTTATACCATATGTTTTATATGTGAAGAAAAACAAAACTGAAAAATGAAGGCTAGAGTTAATCTTCAAGATTTACAAATACTAAAGGAAGATTCCTCGTCCCTTCATTGACACAAAGTTCCAAATATTTTTTCACAGCAGTCCCTTGAGAGTTTGTCATTTATTGCTAGGTACCATATGCTATAAGGCAATGTCAGAAGGCTGGTATTACTGTGCGTATGGTGACTGGAGATAATGTAATCACTGCAAGGTCTGTGGCTGTCAAATGTGGCATCATCAAACCCAATGATGAAAGCCTCGTGTATGATGGAGAAGAGTTCAATTCATACATCAGGGACCCTGATAAAAAGGTAACTACTTATTATTGATTTATTTAGAGGGAATTGCTAGGAGGTCTAGCAACAGCCAGGAGCAAGGGATTTTCTCTAGCTGCAGTGAGTTTCAGCCCCTGCTACTTTGATAGAAAACTTAACATGGCAGACTGAAAAAATGAATCCCAGAACAGTAATGGTACACAATGAACCTTAATCTCTCTTGAATTTTTTAAATATTGCTTTGAGCCTTTGTGGATGTACTTACAAAATTAATAAATAAATCCAGCAACAAAAATTACTTGCAATCGACAAAGTACTTGGGATGATTGTGTGGCCCATAATGCAAGCTATTGTGATGTAATGGGTCTTAATCCGCTGGAGCAGACATGTACTTAACAAAATGAACATGATTAACAAATGATCTAAAATAACAAGTGCATAAGTGAAATATCCCATATGTTAAAAGATGTTGACAGGCTTGATATAACTCTTACGTGCACATTATTGTTAAGACCTTTACAGTTTAGTAACTAGTGAATACCTTAAGGACTTGTCCCTCTTATAGGAAATTAGAGGGGATTCCTTAAAAATATCCCTGAGTGAATGTTTTGCTTCTATAAGGTACTACTTATTCATGAAGAGAGAGAAAAACAACTTTCTAAGGAACAGACTTACATACTTCAAGAACCACACTGTCTGTTACAACAACAACAACAACAATTTACATACATTATTTTAGTAACACCAAAAATGTATTCCCAGCTAACAAAATTCCCAGCAACCAAAAAAAAAAACTTTAAATGAGTACTCCAAACCCAAACATCGCAATGTCAACAGTTTGAAATTCATAGAAATATGTTTCAGGTTGTACAAAGCAGTCAAAGACATCTCAACCAACTGAAAACTAAAATGTACAGGCCTTCCAGGCAACTGGATTTCAAATTTTTTTCCTGCCCTGCATGGGACACAAAGACCTTACAAGACCTCACAATCACAGCTCTGACAGAAATATATTTAAAAATATATTATTTACACCTTTCCCATCTTATAGAAAACAATCACTTAAAAATATATATATCTTATGATCAAATTGAGAATGGCTAAATTATTCCACAGGTACATGTACAGTGCATAGTAGAGATACTTAACAAGAACAAAAATGCATACATCATTATTGGCTTCAATCCCACATCTTAATACGCACAGTCCTAAAAAAAGCTGTTACAAAGATAAATGTGTGTTTGCAGCAACAATTATTAGCAAACCAAGTTTAAAACCTTAGCAATCTGTTNCAGGTTCCTTTCGGTTTTCCCTGTAACTCGTCATGCACCTTTGCGAGGAAAGCCCTTCTTCTCCCAGAAGTTGTGGAGTTTGTCAATTCATCATTGGTGTTTCTGTAGCAGCATAGCTTTTACGGGGTAGGGGTGCTAACCCTACGCCCAACCTTCCTCCTTTCTCAGCTGGGCTTAGGACCGTCCATGGTGGAGTTAATAGCACCATTACTGTTCATAATAGACCAATTTCGATATATTAAAATTCAGCCTAAACCAATAGACCTCAGTACGAGGCTGTGGGGAATAACTACAGAGTTTGTGGGGTTTATTCCCCAGAGCCTTGTGTTGAGGTGTATTGTTTCAGGCTGAATTTTAATATATCAAAATTGGTCGATTTTACTACTTCGTGTGAGTGCTTGCTTGTATGCTCTTACGGTTTTCTTTTTTATTCCCCACTTCAAAAATTAGTGACAACCCTGAAGCCGACGTTGCTATTTATACTGAACTCTTACATCAAAGGTCTAGTTATAAGCCAAAGCAACTCCTCAAGGTTGAATTATATTGCTGGTAGTTCATAGTTAGCTGGGTACATAAAGAAAAATAGATAATGACAGAGACACATTGTAGAGGGTACAATGGCCAACACTGGCTGATTAAGAAAAAGAACACAAGCCTTTTAGACTCAGTAAAAAATGCTTCCTAAACTGCTATAAAATAATCCACTTTATTAATCGAGAAACTTGAATTTATTTTGAAATCTGCAGATTAATACTGACCGTTTTAATGCTATGTGGCCGAAACTGTGTGTCCTGGCAAGATCCACACCTTTAGATAAGTTCACATTAGTGAAAGGGATGATGGAGAGTCATGTTAAACCTGCTGGAGAGATTGTAGCTGTGACAGGCTCAGGGGCTAATGATGGCCCAGTGTTAAGAATGGCAGATGTTGGCTTCACTATGGCAAGTCCTATATTATTGTTTTTCTGAAAGTACTTCATCTGAAGAATAGTAACCAATACGATATTTTAAACCTGGAAATGTTTATTATTTAATTAGTGGTTCAGTGTAGGCCAAATATCTCTATGTAAACTGATGGAATATATTTATCAAGACAGCTATGAACAGTTGCTTGTTGTCAGTATTATTCAAATTACTTACGGTATATGTGGAGCCATTAGGAGCAAGCTATTGCTTGCTTCTCTTCTCAGTGGACATTGTTTATAGTCTATTTCAAAGAAAGGCATGGTGGCTTTAATATGCACTGCTTATTTGACCAACTCTTTCTTTAAAAAACATTTTACAAAGGCTGATTGTTTGGCACAAACAAATGAACAATGTAATGAATATTACAGCAATTAGATTTATTTGGAAAATTTCCAGCAGATTTAAGATGGCGTCAACTTATAATGTTACAAAATGCTGAGTGTTAATGTAGGCTGACAGTTCTCTTCACGTTTTAGGGGGTGGCAGGCACTGACATTTCTAAGGAGGCTTCTGACGTCATACTTTTAAATGATGACTTTAACAGTATTGTAAATGCCATTAAGTGGGGACGCCATATCTACCACACCATCCTTAAGTTTCTACAGTTTCAATTCACTGTCTGTTGGGTTGCCGTTATCATAGTAATCTTTGGAGCAGCAATTGTTGGTGTAAGTAAAATCTGTTATTTATGCCAGTGCTCATCTCATCTGTTGTTTCTGGACTGAGGAAGTAATTTGAGTCTATTGCTATTATTGCTATTGCTATTACTAGCACTAGCACTATTACTATTACTATTACTAGCACTATTACTATTACTATTACTATTACTATTACTATTACTATTACTATTACTAT